CAACTGAGCCACTCAGCCGGCCCGCTACGATTTTCTTTAAGTATCATTTGAAACTGAGCTATATTGTCTGGGTTTGAAACCCATTTGGATAGAACAAGATTTGATCTCAAAACACAGGCAGTTCAGGTTTTCCGAACTTATTTGCAGTGCTACAGGATCCAGCCTTTTCCTTTCCAAAGCCTTACAATACAGAGGCCATTTTCCACCAGGTCTCACATCTGGAAGACACATGAAACTGCCCGGTTTCAGGGAAAGGCTTTCATGACACTATCCCGCTGGCTTTCTAGTGCCTTTACCCTTCTGAACCAGTCCAGTGTCACACGTGGGGGACAGTGAACAACAGAGAAGAGGCCCAGGCTCCGGCAACACCTGAGTGGGTGTTGAAATGGCTTGGCCGGTATTCATCTAAGCGGGGACCTTGAAGAATTGACTTCTTCAGTTTCCTCAGCTAGAAAACAGGACTGACAAGACACTTAGCAGCAGCAAGGTGGCCACACAGAACAGGAGCAGATGCAGCATTTCTTGATGTTGCTGCCCTCTACCCGCGACACTCTAACTAGGACTGGCAGCTGCCAAAGATCCATCTACTCAGGCCTGGGTCCTGGGAGATCTGAAAAGCGAATTCCTGGCTATACCCCACTGCTTTCACTTTGGGGGTTTACATCACTTATCAGGAAGAATTTAAGCAAAATAGCTATACATTTAATGTTTCCATATACAGGAGTATGTTAGACATGGGGCTATCCTGTTTCCTAACCCAAGTCAGCTCTGGGAGGCCACGACCTCAGCTAAGGGAGGAGTCAGTCAGGTGACCGCCATTTCTGACTGCCTTCTCACCCACCCACTGCTGTCCCTAGCCAGGAAATCATTTTCCTGACATTTCAGGGGTTAAGAAACAGAGAAGCGATTGCAGAATGAGTAGACTTGACTGAGAAGGCCTGGGTTTGGGTCCTGGTTCTGCACTCGCCTGATATCTGAACATACTGCAATCTTGCAGAATTCCCGTTTCCTCATCTATAAAATGGGACTAAGACCATCTACGTCCCAGGGCTGTTGGGAGGCTTAAATGAGATGATTTATGTGGAGGTATATGATATACAGTACCTGATGTATAGTAAACACAAAAATGTTTTTAAAGTTTTGTACAACACTTTTTATACCTTTTAGTTTAATAAGTACATTTACATCTATGAATTTAGGCCTCACAATCATCCTGTGAGGCAGGGGGCACAGGCTCCTAGAAAAGCAGGATAAAAAAAGGTCAGAAATGGGCTGGTCGAGTGATGTATTGATTAAGAGTTGGCTTGGGAGCGTGAGCTCTGAGCAGCAGGGCTACTGGTTCGGATCCCACATGGACCAGTGACGCTGTGCCCTCTATAGCTAAGATAGTAAACAAAAGCTCGACCTGGAGCTGGGCTGCCGTGAGTCGCCGGCGATGGCGCAGGCTGCAGCCCCGGCTGCAGTGGGCTGCCATGAGCTTCCATGAGTGGCCGGCAGCGTGAGCGGCCATCCAATGGCCAGCGAGTGACTGCCTCACCCGGGAGGAGCACAGTAATACCAACATGGGTCAGTGAAGCGATGTCCTCCACAACTAGACTGAAGAACAAAAGGACAGCAACTTGTCTGTTCCCCTTCCCCGATTCCCCAACGCTGTTCCTCTCCCCC